GACATGCATGCCTTTATCTTCAATACATCTCTACATATTAGAAAAAAAGTGGCATTATGATGCCATCCTTTGGTTCTTCACAAAGGCTTTTTTTAAATGCTCTAACACCTGCACTTCTGAGATGCTTTGGTAACCTTTTCCTTTTTACCCTTAAATTCTCAAGCGGGTCTGTTAAAAACAGACAGGTGCTAATTTTCAGGCAATATTTACCTAAATTTTGTCATATAGTCTACATTCAGATTTCTCTTTCAGAAGAAAACATTGCCTCAGACTGTATCTGCATGTAGGCAAGGTAGAATCACAGGATCACAGATTCACAGAATATGTGGAGTTGAAAGGAACCCACAAGGATCTTTTTTTTTCCTTTTTTTTTTAAATAGCTAGAATTTCCATGTTTCCACATTGGTTTATATAACGCAGTTTCTTTTTATTAAGTTTTTTAACATATTTGTCATGCATGACTGTGGTTTCCTCTGTAAGACTCTAATGTATAAGGGAATTATTATACAACAAATAAGAACTATCTGATTTCACATAACAAAAGGGGAAAAACCCCAAAAGATGAAGGTGGGGTTGAAGTCTAAAATTTGCCTATAAATTCAGTCTATCACTTAAAATAGGCAAGTAGTTTTAACCAAATGAATAGTCCCAGTGAAATCTAAGGCTGTATTTAGAACAATTTTTAAGCACTGTTCTGACCAACTGGGGTTGTAACAAGCTTTGTGCTCAAGCATGAGAAGACTAACAACCTCAGGTAATGGGAAAACAAATAAAAATAGGTTAAAGAGTTATCCTGGGTTATCTGTAGAGTGATCTCTTCTCTTGGTTGGGCAAACTGCACATTAACAGAGCAGAAGCATGATGCAAGGCAGCTTGCTGGGCATCAAGGGTTTGTGGGGCACCCATTTCTGAATTATTATCTGAAAGGCTGTGTAATTCTCTAAAGAAAAATATTCACTGCATTTTGCTTCAGCAGCTGAAACCTACTTGCTGTTCTCTTGACACCTATGTTTGGAGGAGGGTTTATGATAATTATTTAAATGAGTTTTGGAGAAGTTCACAGGCTATTCATAAATAAACAGTGAGGAGAACTGGGTAGAGAGATTCATCCAAAGGTGGCAAAATGAAAGGCAAGAGTTTTCTATATATTGCAGATCCCAAAGTTGTCCTTTATCTTTCTTCCAGAAGAACTTGTGATCTTATGTAAAACTAATAAAAAATAAACTGATCACTTTTTTTCTCTCCATATCCTATTATCATAAGCTATCTGTCATAATGCTGCACAGATCTATTTGATCCTTGTGTGCTCAAAAATACTTTTATATTTTACTGCTGCTAACCTCTTCAAGTTAGTTTTGTAGAGCTTTCTTGATTATTCACCTTGTGTCACAACAGAGTTTTTAATTTAATTCCAATTCAAACTTTTGACATACTGCTAATGCACATACATGGAAGAGCACCTCTAAGGTTTCAGATTTCAAACCAAATGTAATAATGGGCCTATTTCCCTGAGAGAGAAAATTTGAATCCATATATTTCCTGTCTTATTCAGGTTGTGTCACTTCTTTTAATTTAAAGAAAGATCGCAGTAACAGGAACTAATGAAAATTCTTTTGCCTTTTGATAAATACAGTAACCTTCTGTTTTCAGACTACAACTTTCAGATCTGCAGACTTCAGGCTTGAGTAAGAAACTTATGTTTTTATTACTTTTCTGTGTGTGTTTTCCCTATGTTTTTGTCTCTATAATGGCACAAAGGTTGTAAGCAGTGTTAGTCTCACTCTGAGGCTTTAAAAAAAAGTCAAAACACTGTTCTTGTGAAATTACTAGCAAAGAAACAAAAAATAAAGTCAGCATTTATTTACCTCAGTTTAGATTTTTTGGTGGCAGAAATTTTGTTTTCAGGAATTATAAAAGTTTCTTTCCTAATTTCAAAGTATTCAACAGTTTTTTCATCAATCAACATTAGAAACCAATTGGAAGTTTAAAAAAAAATCTGGCTCTTGTCTTTAAGTTATTATGCATACAGTAGGTATGAAAGTTTGATCAGTTCCAGTTTGAAGGCCTCAATGGATATTATGAAGAGAAAAAACTGATTTAGCTATGCCATTACACTATTTCTGTTATTTAATATGCTTGTTTGAAGTGAAAGTCTGATTAAGTAAACATATTTTTCCCTTCTACATATCCATTAAGATGGATTTATTTACTTAGTGAGAACTATTTTAAAGTGTTTTCTCTGCAGTTGTAAAGATGCTGTGGGGTCTAGATAAATATTTTCTAACACAAATACCAAAGAAATAATAGCATTCACCTAATGAAGAAGTTATAGCACTCATCATATTCTGACATTATGTAAAGGTGAAAAATGAAGAAGTTAAGTTATGTTGAACTAAAAACCTGGCTAATTGAATGGGTAAAGATATAAAATAACCTTCTGATCAGCAACAAATACACTAAGTGAGCAGCTTACTTAATAGGACATATTTAGTCAGATATTTTACAGCTTGCCAACCAAATGAAAGAGGGAAGGCTCTTTAAAGGGCACAAAAAATGATAAATGTAAACAAAAGTAACAGATAACTTAAACCAAGTTAACCTCCTTGATGATTTAAATCACAATTAAAACAAACAATTTAAATCCTTGGGAATTAAATCAGATCAGTGAAAGCTTTGGATTTGTATACCCTTTTCACGCATTGCAGTGAGACCCTGACATACGCCTGCAATACCAGTAATGGTTAATCACAACTATTCTTACTTCGTAGCTCTCTCCTGGTAATCAGGCTTGGCAGGTACCCCTGCCAACTACATGGTTTAGCTCTGGGCCACAGATGGATTTCACCCACAGTGTTTAAGGAATGTGCCATCCCAGAGGTTTTCAATCTGTGATATGTGTAAGTGCTAGCCAAGTTGCTACTATTCGATTGTGAACCACTTTAGCGGGATAGGTGACACAAGTCTGGGAGCAGCACTGCTGCCATGTCTGCTGGGACCCACAGAGACTCTTGCCCCTGCTCATCTCTACAATCACTGATGGGTGACAGTGACCAGCCTCCAGCCCTCGGAGCACAGCAAGGTGGTGAAATAATTTTCTCTCAGGGTCTTCAGTGACCAGTCTTACAAAGATGACCATGAACTTCAGGTTCAGAACTGTTGGCTGGAACTTTCAAACTCCTTGCAATGAGGAGGTCCCTGCCCATCCCTGCTCTGGATCTCCTCATAACTGGATTGCAGTGAGTATCACAGAAAACAACCAACAAGCTTTTGGTTGGACAATAACTCTAAACAATATTTACCCTTTCTCAAATATTTTTTTCTCATAGGGAGCTGATGCAATGGCAATTGCAAGGGAACTTGGAAATAAAGGTATCCCTAGATTTCATGCTCTTCTTCTTCTTCTGTTTCAAGCCACCCACTGTGCTGCAGGTTAAATTTTTTGAGCAAAGAATTAGACTTACTTGTAATGAAGTTTACCGTATGCTAGTTCTGGGGGAGATAAAGATGCTCTAAATGTGTAACCTGCACTGTGGTGATGATAAGCTATTTGGAATTTCCTTTTACTAAAAACCCACCACTTGCAACTTTTAACTCATTGCCTATCATGCTGGGCTTGAAATCTATGTGAGAACACAGTTCAGATCTTACAAAAGCCTCCAGTCAAGGGGCAGGTGTGATAACTGGTCATACCATACAAGAAGTCTGTCTGGTTTTATTTCTGGTAGATGAAGTCACTTTTTGAGAAATTGAATGTATAAAACTGCAGGGCATGATACGATAATAAATGCATAGAAGCTTTCATATTTATTAATTGAACATATTATAAGATAGAAACCAGCCAGAGTAGTTTTCTAAACCGGGATCAAGATTTTTTTAAAACAGCAACTCTTTTAGCTGCAGATCCTCATACAAAGCCCACTGTGAAGTTTCTGAGAATCAAGAGACATAAAACTGTATTAATATTTGAGACAAGGTAAACAAGACCATCACATATCATATATCCAAAGATAGACATTAAAAAAAACAAACATAAAAACAAACCAAACCAAGAAAAAACAAACAAAAAAGCCCCAAAACAAACAAACAAAAAACCAAACAACAAAAAAAGACCAATCCAAACCCACAATAGGAAGAAGTGACACTTTCTAAAGTCTTGTCCCAAAACAGTCAATAAAAAGCAACTTCTAGACTTCTAGAGATCACTTGCTGAGAAATTACTTGTAAGCTTCCATTTACTGTTCTGAAAACTGAATGATAAATGGGATAAGACTGTTGTTATTCCTAGCTTAGAAAGAGAAACTGAGGCACTGAAAGTTTATGCAATTTCTTCAGAACTCACAAAGGACATGAAAATACAACTCCTTTCCTTGGTCTCAAGATCCTCTATGTATTTTTCAAAAATGGGAGATGTTACTGTAATGACTATATTGTTTCCCTTAGGGTGAAGGGCAAGTCCCCTTCCAGTGATTTTCCTGATGTTGTTTGCTAAATTTCTTCTTATGGTTGTCAACAGGACATTTATAAAACAAATTATATAAATGAAAAGCTATGCCACATGGCAGGTATAAAAAGTAACAGTTCTAAGGATTCGTGCAAATACTAAAACACTGATTTTACCCTAGTGTTGTTCATGTCTTGTGTTACATGGCCCAGAGGTGTTTCTCTTTTTTTCCTACAAAAGGGATATTTGAATTTTTTTTCTTTTCCTTTTGTTGCAGTAATTAGTCATGACTGACATTTAGAGATATGCAGGGAGAGGTACCCCAATGCATTTTCTTTTGATGCTCCTTGAATTAGTTTCAGTGCTAAGAGAAAACATTTTCCTGCACCCCTCCTCTATATCTTTAAATGAATGTCATCCAAATGGCATTGCCACTCAAATGTTCCAGTGAAATTCCTTGCATGCTGATAGTGCAGTGTGGGATTCTCTAAAATTGTCCCCTGTAGGCTTGAATTCAGCCCCTGAAGGTTCACTTGAGTTTAATTTCGCTAATCACACAGAGACAGTTATTTTTTTGCTCTCGCTCAGCTTCTCTTTCACATGCGAGCACACTAACACACACACACACACACACACACACACTCACTCACGCTGCATCCCTCCCGCTCTGTTGCACTTAAGTCCAGATTTTCTCTGGCCATTCCCGCACACAAGCAGAGAGCGACACAACACGACGGTGCCTAAGACCATAGGTGGGTCGTTTGCTTCAAGCCAATTTATTCACATTTGCGATGGTAAGATTGATTTTTATCCTGCATTTCTGAGTTTATTTAACTGATTTCAGAAACTGCCACAGAGGTGGGGGCAGAGATCCTCTTCAAGGTTGCTGTCATCTGGAATTTTATGTCCTTCATTTTCTTTCACTCTGTATGCCTGTCACATCGGCTTAACTGTGAGTAGCATACTAGCCAGTACCTCTGGCATACTGTATATTAATAGAATATTGATATAGCCCAAATACTGTTGTGGGATTCATCATTTGGTAAATCCTCTGCCGTCTGCAGTTTTACAGACCCGTTTAATTAGCAATTTTACAACCTCCTATTCTCTCATTAAATTAATTAATAATTAAGTTCAAATATAGGCATCTTTAATGTCATAATTATATTTCAGTTTTATGGTCACCAGAGTTTAGCTCATTAGGCAAAGTAGTCATAAACCATAGTTCTATTTAGGGGCTGAGGCACTAATGCACAGGTAAGTTGCTTCTGCTCAGTATTTTTTATCCTTCTCACTTTCTCCCCTTCTACCCTCCTCCCCCCACCTTACCCTCTTCCCCACTTCTCCAGATTCCCTTCCTATCATTTCTCTCTGCTAACACAGGCATCTTTTTTTTCCTGTGGCAGCTCTTTCTTATTTGTATGTCACGTTAAAAAAAAAAACAATCCCTGGCACACGCTGTCACAGTTCCCCCTCCCCATTACTGTCTCTGGAGCAGTGCAGTGACACTGGCCTGCTATAGGTCCTGCTTCCTTGAAAGCCTCAGGGACCACCAACTCCAGTGCTGAGCACCCAGTGCTGAGCACCCAGAGGTTGCAAATTTTGTGCAGCGTCATATTGGTGATATTGTACTTCTTTTTGACTGTGGGATTTACCAAGGCATGGGATGTAGTAATGACATTTCACACAGTATGATATGTTGTGCGTTGTTTTATATGTAGTGGATTTATTTCAGTCATTATCACTGATTAAACCAGCTTAGTTGAAAAGGCAAAGCAAAACTTGGCTTTGAAATTGTTCTTATTTAATTTTGTTTGTGCTCACATAACCCAGGACAGCACTAATTATCTCTTTAGTGTAGCTCATATTTCTAATGTAATTCATATGTAAATTGTAATTTAAATCATATGGGAATGTTTGTGTTCCTTGCATATTCTCAGTAAAGAGCACAAACAGTGAATTAAAACTGTTTGGAAATGAAAACTTTATGTTGCCTTTTTTGAACTGTCTTTGATTTCTTTTGGCTTGATGTTTCTCTAATGAATCATGATTCAATTGGATGGCTAAGGCCGAAGCGTTTAGTCTCCTCTCTCTCTGTATTTATGCAGCTTGCTCACTGGCCTGCTTTTCCTTCTGAATTTGGAAGGCAGGGGGGAGCTTTCTACACGCTCGCTACCTTTGGAAAAAAAATCATCATAAGATGACTATGACTAATAATGAATAATATTTGTATCACTACAGAGCCTAAGAGCTTGGTATGTCACTATTTGTGCCACTTTGCTATTCAAATGGAACCACACAAGTGTGTTATTTCTGGTAGCATATAATATTAGGTTAAAATTTTAATCCCAAACCCAACTTTCCACTTAATAACCTTAACTTTTTTTTTTCTTAATGCAATATTACTGTCTTCTCTGAAAGTTGTTACTGCCCATAGTGAAGTGGTCTTTTGACAAGGCAAGTCAAAACTTATTTGTATGAGTAGAGCATAGGACAGTAAAAATTGTTCCCAAACTTCTGAAATTTCAGAATAGGTTTGCTTCCTGGATGTGGGAATGCTGCTGCAATACACTCTAACACCAAAAACAGAACTAACAGCAAAAGCAACAAGCTGGACTTCACCAGGAGGGTGAGTGTGAAAGCCTGCAGAGTCATGGGCAGCAGATGCAGGTGTGCTATCATCTCCTGAAGCAGAAAACAGAAGGCAAAAGATGTGAAGGAAACAGGAAGGGTAAAAAAGTCAAATAAAAGAATAATAAAACCTGGAAGGCTATCAAGTTAATGAATGATGATGTCGACTACACGTTTCTTAGCTGGAACTGCCCTTTACATTTCCTAGGCAAAACTCTACTCAAAACACTAGTGAGATAATGAATGTCTGTTTCTCATCCTGCCAAAAAAGATGTTTGCCCAGCCCATGCCAAATGAAGCTGTCTGTGCTGTACAGAGGCCAGGGCCCAGTGTCACTCCCTTGCCCCAGAAAATTGCAACCTGACCTGCCAGTGGCCACACAGGAGCATGTTTGAAGTGCTCCTTCAGATTTAGTGCAGGATGTGACATGATGGTCCTGGAAGCTTCTTCCCCTGGACAACTGCTGCTCAGACTAGTATGCAAAGCCCACAGGGGAAAAATCATTAACTCCCTGCCACCCTCTCTTTTGTTCCTGTGTATTGCTGTGGCCAGAAGAGAGGTTAAGGCTTTGAGGACTAATACTGGTGTATTAGTTCCTGATGCTGTAATGCTGAGCTCTGGGACAAGTGACTCTGCTCACCAGTGGGAAAGATTGCATGTGCCAAGAAAGAGGCAGAGGGGTCGCATCAGTGAACAGACACACTGCTTCCTAGCATCCCTCTGCCAACCTCCCCATCAGGAAAACCTCTCCCTATGTTACAGCGACCTTGTCTTTCTCAGGCCTTGGGGACCCCCTGCAGATAAGCTCAGCTTAGCAAGGTGCGGCATCGGGACGCTTTGTAGCACAGTTGAACAGAGGGTGGAAAAGGCAAGCAAGAGGCATCACTGGTCTGGTTTGGCTGTGACCTCAAAGCCCCCCTGCAGCCAGGTACCCTCTAGGGAGGGATGCTGCCACATCTAGGGCAGGCATTTAAAACACGTGTGGACGCACACCCCCACGCACATGCACGCATACTCACCGTGACGACACAAGAGCTGTCCGAAACTATTTTCAATAATTGATTTGCTGTTTAATTGAACATCATGACTGACTAACATAGCTCATTACTTTACTCATTAGTTAATTATCGAAGAAAGTAGGACAAGTCAATAAAATGGAAGGTTGTAAATTCCAATACTAATTAGCACCATTTCCTCAGAGACATATTTAAGGGCAGATTGGCTACCCGAGTGTCCCTGGACCTTGTAGATGAAGGGAAAGGGTAGACTTACCATAAATCTAGATTACCGGCAAGCAAGGCTCCTCAGCAGTAAGTAGTCAAGTACACAGGTGCTGAGCTACTGTCAGGCACCCTCTTTGAACTGGAATATTGGAACACAAGCAGCACAGAAATTCCTATTTTTAAAAGAAAAGAGGGGGGTGCGGGTGGTGAGGGAGGGAGCGCTCATACACCAGAGAGCTCACACACCATATTTAAAATAAATTATGCAAACTGAACTACTTCTGCAGAGCACATTTGCTCTCTGAAGCTCTCTCTTTCCAGTCTCTCTCGCATTCACTTCATCCTCTTTTTTTGGCAGTCCAAATCCTATTCAAAACACTAGTCAGACCCCTTCAGGAGTGGGCACATTTTTAATTTGTGGCTTCCAATTTATATTTCTGATTTGTGGTTTGGGTTTTGTTTTTGTTTAAATAAAGTATTGCAGTGAGGCAGAATTTAGTGGGTCCAGGAGAGCTTTAATTGAGCCAAAAAGTAATGTAAAGCAAATAAAGATAGTCTCAAAGAAGACTGGGAGAAAAGGAAGCAAAGGGAGTGCACATATGTGTAGCATGTCTGTATGCATGTTATATATTTTATATATACATGAGGTGTTATACATATGTGTATGTATAATTGAATAATAACTGCACGTGTGCATATAAAAAAAATACATGCAGATGCATACACAGAGCTACATACATACCTACATACACACAAACAGAAATATGCCAATATAGGATTCTTTTTCCTCAGTAGGAGGAATTTAGCAAATTTCTTGAGTTCTGCAGTTTAAAAGCCCTCAGGACTTACAGGCTGCCTTTTAAAAATCAGCACAAGAGGACTCAGGCTATGAAAAGGTTCTGTTGATATACTGGTACACTGTTCAACCATTCATCTAAATTATTATAAACAACTAAGGAATCAGAATAAATATATTTTATTAATTCCTTTTATTTGGAGACATATCTTTTGGGTCTTCCTCTCAATATACATTCACTTCTAAAAAATTAATTTCCAGTTAGGTGAATGGAAATGGAGATCAAAAGCATTACTTGAGCTCGACTTAAGGGAAGAAATCACCCTAAGAATAGCTCTTATTCTGGAGCTTTAAATATTTAGCAATTCTAAAAATATATTAATGGATTATTGTAAAAAATGCTAACAAATGTCTGTTACTTGACTTACTATATTTTTTGCCTGATTATTAAACCACAAGTTATGTTTTATTTTCAAGTGTTTTAAAAAGTACCTTACCAGAGTGTTCTAAAAATCTTTTTTTTAATCTAAAAATCCATTACATGGATTTTTTTAATCAGTAGTTTTGAGAATCTGGTCTCTGGTGCAAATAAAGCAAGACTGAAATTTAGGTTTAGGGAAGAAGGAGGAAATGTGATTAACAGAAAGTTCCTGATAGAAATAATGCAGGGGGAAAATCTTAAACTATTTTAGTAAAATATCTTTTTTAAAAAAGTAGTATTTTATCATTCATTTTTGGGAAGGGATATTTGTTCGGAATGTTCTCTTTGCATTAGTAAAGGATTGGAAGAAAACCCCAAAACAACACCATATAAAATTGACCTGGGAAACAGAGAGAAAACAGTTAGATGTTCATTCAGCATAGGCTAAGGCACAAGGTATGTACAGCATATACAGGCACTGCATACTTGCTAAGAGTTGGAAATTATAAAGGAGAACACTCAGAAAAGATACGTTTCCAGACAGTGCCAAGCACTCTTTGATACTGAGATTTTTTTATTTTTTTTTTTTAAATGGTTCTTGTTAGGTCATGGTGGATCCCTAGATTAACTTGAACACCTTGTCTACATGGCCTCGGGGAGAGCTCCCAAACTGAGCAGCCAGCAAGAGCTCAATATATGCAAGGGGTATGGGAATGGGGAGGAGGCTGTGAGAGGACCCAACTTCAAGATTTGAGTCATGCTTTAGAGCCCCAAATGGCTCTAAAAGTACACAAATATGCAATGGTTATATTTTACACTGTCATTTGTAGAACGCATTGTAATGTAAGTAGTACCTTACATACCTTGTATAATGTAGGGTA